CATCACACCCACAGATATAATATATTCATAGACACCATCATCATCATCACACCCACAGATATAATATATTCACAGACACCATCATCATCATCACACACACAGATATAATATATTCACAGACACCATCATCATCATCACACACACAGATATAATATATTCACAGACACCACGAGGGCTAGAGTCTGAAAATATTCACACAGTGAGAATTTGTCAGTGAAAACTAGATTCTGATTATCATAAACACCTCTGGCACAAATATACACACACACAGGGAAGAGTAGTTCAGGTGGGGAGCTACGTCAGCATGCGGATGCTGTAGAGGAACAAGTAATAGGTTTATTCCAGCTGAAATGAGAAGAAAAAGAACACAACGTTTCGGCCGTGGAGCCTTCTTCAGGTGTTCTTCACTTCTTCAGGTCTTCTTCACACCCGAAGAAGGCTCCGCGGCCGAAATGTTGTGTTTTCTTTCTTCTTTTTTCCAGCATGGAATAAACCTATTACTTGTTCCCAAATGGAGAAGAGTCTAATAATAGTGACCAGCACCGACACACAGAGAAGACACCCAGCGCAGATCCATGAGATAATTATCACGCACACAGGGAGGACAAGTTAGATAATAATCATCACACACAGTGAGAAGCAGTTAGATGATAAAAATCACACACCCAGAGTGAGAACTAGTCTAATAATAGTCCCCATCTCTGTCACACACACACACGCAGTGCAGATCTCTGAGATTATAATCACGCATTCAGTGAGGAAAGTCAAACAACAAAGTCAAACAGCAATAATAATAATACTATTAGCAGTCTTACACTGACAGAGTATACAATGACGATCTGTCAGTCATGAACAGTGAAGATGTTCAGGAGTCCCAAATCAAGCAATTAAAATCCTTTAAGGCTCGAACAGAGTCAATCTAATGGACTTCTTCAGGCCCCACAGTTAAGGAATCGGAAACTTCAGGGAAGGGCATTTTAAAACAGAACAAGGTTGCAGCTCTGTGCTCGAAGGGTGGCAGGGGTCTGGCACAACCTACGGCTGATTTGTTTTTTGCAAATATCGATTTTAATACAACTTTAAAACACTGCACATAGAAAGCAATCCTGACAGCTCTCATCTCTGGCCTCCTAAATCCTTCATCATTTACATTCACTATTTACGTAATGTTCAAATAATAGTAATACAATAGTATTAAATACTGCTACATTATAGTATTCAAGCGAAACCACTTTGGACAGGTGGGACGTCTGTACACAAAGGGTGGCGGGGTCTGGCACAAGCTGCGTTGCGGCTCTCAGTCGACACACCTGGCCTAAGTGAACGTTGCAGCCCCGATCAAGCTGGGGGGGGTGGTGGGGGGATGGGACCGCGAACGGGCCGGCGCGGAGCTCACCCAGCACGGTGACGGTGGCCTTGGCGGTCCGCACTGGCATGGTGAAGATGGAGCAGGTGTACTCGCCCTCGTCCGACAGGTTGACGTTGGCGATGCTGATGGACAGCTCGGTGGGCGTGGACTGCACCAGCTGGATGCGGTGATCCCGCAGGGCTGCGGAGAGAGACGAGTTGGCCCCTGTTCTTTGTCTCAAGAAGCCCCGACCTCCAGGCAGGAACACAGCAGGAGGAGCTGAGACCTCCACTGGCGAAGAAGCACCTTCCAGCTGACCCCCACGGGGGGAACAGCCCCGTAGAGGGAACAGCCCCAGAGAGGGAGCAGCCCCAGAGAGGGACCAGCCCTGCAAGGGAGAACAGCCCCGCAGGGGGAACAACCCCATAGAGGGACCAGCCCTGCAGGGGAGAACAGCCCGCAGGGGGAACAGCCCCGCAGGGGAAACAGCCCCACAGGAGGAACAGCCCCGCAGAGGAGAACAGCATAGCAGGGGGAATAGCCCCACAGGGGGAATAGCCCCACAAGAGGAACAGCCCATCAGGAGTAACAGCCCCGCCCACACTCACCTCGCTTCTCTCCGAAGTACAGGGTCTGCTGCGCGGTGTTGGACCACTGCAGGGAGGAGTTGTCATTGTCCTGCACCCTGCAGGTCAGCGTCACCGTGCCTCCCACTGCCACCGTCTCGTCCGAGGTCACGGGCTGGAACTGGTCCTCCACTGCGAAACCAGAGCAGAGGAACTGAGCACTAAGCACAGAAGAGTACCCAGGACCTGATCCTACACACTGTATAGAAGCACATACGGCGAAAGGCACTGAATATAATTCAAGAAATCAAATTAAATTTCACGATGCACCAATATAGCCTTGTTTAGGTACAGTACACAAGTTAAATCTCATGTAGAATATTGTGGATAATTCGCTTAACCATCTTAAAGAAAATATGTCACTGCTCTGGAATCAGTTTATAGGAACTCTTTAGGAGTCTCTTTGGTCTCTTTAGTGTGAAGGGAGTGTCTCACACTAACAGGCTGAAGGAACTGAGTCTTTTTAGTCTGCAGGGAGTGTCCCACACTGGTAGACTAAAGGAACTGAGTGTCTTTAGTCTAAAGGGAGTGTCCCACACTGACAGACTGAAGGAACTGAGTTTTATTAGTCCGAAGGGAAAGTCCACTGATAAGCAGAAGAAACTGAGTCTCTCAATCTCTCAAAATCGTCAAAGACAACTACGTGATCAAGTCAGGAATCTTCTTCAGAATGAAAAGTGAAACACGAACTGGAGCACGCCGATGGAAACCAAACAGCTGGCACTCCTTTACACGAAGGGGTAACAAGCTCAAGGGATTGAGGCCGGCACCCTCAGGCTTCTCACAGCTGGATGAGCCTCTCGGATCGATTATCTGCTAGCGCTAGATGGGCCTCCTCTCATTTGTGACCCGTCTTGTGTTCCCGTGAAATAATTTCCCTCTGCATGCTCCTCACAGTGGTGATTCACGCCCAGATTGTTAGGGCTCTGTGCCACAATGAAGCCGTCTGTATTATCGCCGCGGATAAGAATCTCAATTTAAATGCAGAAAATAGTTGGGAACTAATAACTGCATCTATGAATAAATGAATATTTAAACAAGTGATCTGCTCTCTGCCAACCAGGTTAATTCTTTACATGCAGACACAAATCCCAGGGAGGAGAAGGAACTTTTTTTCAGATTTAGAGGAATTCTGCAATTCAGAGTCGAATTTGAGCACAACAGAACTTGATTTGAAACACCAATTCCTAAATGTAGCTGCCGCACACACTGGTACATCAGAAATGTCACTGCTCTTATTCTGAAAGCTGCATTTCCAATTATTTTAGTGATCTGAATTTTCCCCTAGCGTGTTTCTGCGCCAACGTGTGATTTGTTTTTTTAATGCAACAATGGAAATTTCGACCCTGGGCCGACACAGGGGGTTGGCCGGGGTACAAGTTAGCTTTTTGGGGGGGTCCTGGGTTCAACTGTGGCCCAGAGCATCTTCTGTGTGGAGTCTGCGTGTTCTCCCTCCCCATGGCCTTGTGGGATTTCTCCGGGCAAAGTGACGTCCTCCTAGCTCCCATAGAGAGGTTACCTAGCAACCTTTGTGTGTCCAGTGGACTGTTGGAACACCAGAGACCGGCTTTGGGCTTCTATAACCTCTCCCAGGAATAAACGGCCTTATGATAAATCGTGACATCAGCCACTTGGATGATACAAAACTGACTTCATCCTCGACCTGAGCCGATCACAAAGCGTCTAAGCATACCACTGCAAATTTTATCAGACCGTGAGTATCGACTTCTCATTATTACACAGCTTTCATTATTGCGCAGTGCAGTTTTGAAGAAGATCTTATTCAGACGTCCATTCCCCACAAGCACTGGGGCGCTGGGTTCAATCCCAGACCAGGAGTGCTGTCTGTGTGGAGTTTGCATGTTCCCCCCCAGTACATAAACTGGCTGGTGGGTTCATTGCCTTCTGGCCCTGGTGTGAGTGTGTGTCTACATCTGTCCGCCCTCCAGGGTGAGTCCTGCCTTACGCCCACTGCTTGCTGGGATAGACTTCGTCTCCCCCGCGACCCTGAATTGGAAGCAAATGATCGGATGGATGTTCCGCTGGCCCATTTTGTCCTGCCTCCCGACTCTGACCTCTTCAGAGCCCAGGGCCGGCCGCGGCGCCCATCATGCAGACTGCGTGCTCCCGTCAGGAGGCAGTATCACCAGGGTAATGAAGCAACATTCCTCTCGCGGGGAGAAGCGGTTCCCTGTCTGCACAGCCCTTCAACACTTCACAGAGCGCAGAAGACCCGAGATCACGCTCAAGATAAAATCACTAAGGCGCGCCTCGAGACAAACTGAATTGTCCACCAGCTCGAGGACTTTAGTGTCTCTAAGTGTGGTGCCATATCGTCTGCCTTCATTTTTTAAAAAAAGGTAATATCCCTGTCCGACATTATCTCAGAATCACCCCATCAGTGGGTCAGAGCCAACTCCAGCGGCTCTTCCAGCTGGCTACCATCTGTCCCTTTGGTTCAGAACCACTCACTTTTAGCCCTTCAAGTGGTCAGAACGGACACATGAGCCGGGTCTGCTGCTACTTTCAGCATCACAACCGAGCCTTGTGCGCCAACAGCCATGCCGCCTTCTTTCAGCACAGCAGCCAGTGGGGCAGGCCTGGTCTGCTACTGCTTTACAGCAGCACATGAAACACAAACTGTATGGAAGTGGATTTGAAATCAGGCACAGGAGGCTTGTCTTTGCACGAAGGGTGGTAGGAGAAGGCCATTCGACCCATCTAGCCCTTTTAACAATTAGTAGTTAATTGATCCGCGGAGCTCGTCCTGCTGTTTCTTCAGAGAAGCGTACCAGTTTCAGCTACAGCTTGGCCCACACTCCCACCACTCTTTGTGTAAAGAGGCGCCTCCTGTCCTGACTGGAGGATCTCATCCAGCTGTGTCTCCAGAGAAGCCAGCATATCAGCATGACTGGGCAGGTTGTTCCACACCCCTACCACCCTCTGTGTAAAGAAGAGCCTCCTGCCCTCTCATCCAGCTGTGTCTTGAAAGAAACCAGGGTATCGGCTTCCACAACACGGCTGGGGCAGCTTGTTCCACACTCCCACCACTCTTTGCGTAAAGTTTCTCCTGTTCTCTGTTTTCATTGCACTTCCCCCGTTTAAACGGTTAAACACCGAGACTGTGCGACTTCGGACGCGTCCGCTTTGCTGCTCGGACACCCCCCCCTGCTCGACGGTTGTGGCGTGGGGTCTGTGTTCAGACGCCGACGCTGCGGCTTCTGGACTCGTTTGAAATAGGAAATGAAAAGTCTTCTGGCGTGTTCTCTCGGCAGACATGAGACCAGATGGCAGGAAACCGCGGGTTAACTAGATATCAAGGGGAGAGCCGGGCAGGAGTTAAAAACACGGCGCTGTAGACGGCAGTCTGGGCTCAGATGTTTTTTTTCTTTATTATTATTATTATTATTATTACAGGGGCCTGCAGGTTTGCCCTGGATGTTCCCGCCAGCCGGGACTTCTTCCCGATCCTTAACAGTGGGGAAAACAAAAAAATAAAATAATGAGACAACAAAAGCAAAGCCCCGAAAACAGAACGGCATGTTCTCGCCGCCGGCGGACCGTAACCAGTTCCCTCCGCGAAAACCGGCACTCGGCAGGGAGGGAAGACGAATCCGCCTCTCTCCCTCACCCCGCCTGACAGCGAGGGGAGGAATAAAGAAACATCAAGGTGCGTCGGGCTGGACTGCGAGAAAGCGCACAAGGCGCCAGTGAGGCCTCCTTCAGCGGGCTGGGGAGAAGGGCGGTCACTGCGTTACGGGCATGAAGTCGTTGCTGTGGAAACCGGGACAGGACCGGAAAAAAAAACAACAACGCGGTTAACTTTCCTTAAAGACCCCAGCTGTGGGGGGTGGTCTGGGACGGGGTGGGGGGCACCGGCTTCTCAAGAACCCCACT